CATTTATTTCGCTTGGCACAAGATCGGTGAAAGTTCACTGAGCTGACGGCCAACCATTAAATGGAGAGGCACCTTGAGAGAGAACATTTACGTTAAAGTCGCGGGAATCTTCTGGATTAGGCAATATTAATAGAGAAAATATAAAATAAAACGAATATCATTATTATAAAATAAAGAAAACATACTTTTCTTTAACAATGTATCTTACTTATATTATAAATGCGAATGTTTAGATGGATCGATGTTTGTTTGAAGGTATCTCCAGAACGGCTGAATCGATCTCGATGAAATTTATAATATAGAACATAGTCTGGAAGAACACACTACAGTAATTATGTTTTCTTTTTGATGCCGCGCAGATAAAGTCGCATGCGACAGCTAGTAGGCTATATTAATCATTGTTATATATAAAAAAATGCGTATCCGTGCGAAGAAGACATTAGACAATTATTTATAGTGTTAGGTTTGTTATTAAAATTGTTAATTATCTCCTATCGTCTTTATTTTACAGTATGAAAACAATGGATGGATTTAATTTATACTTGTGAACGTTTGGTGACCTTCAAGGTCACAGAAACTAGTGTTTTAATTGCTTGTTTATGAGTCATATCATATTTAGCAAAGCTAAAATAACTTTTATATAGTTCTAACGATTTAGCTAGCGTAAGGCAAATTTTAAGGAATACACAAATACGCTGTTTATTTATGTACACTAAAGTTTGATTACAGTGAAGTATACAGCGTGTCCCAAAATTCAAAAGCCGGTACTGATGTATAGCCTGGTCTATAACTACATCGGGAAAATACTTTAAAAATCTAACTATTTTTGTTTAACATTAACATTATTTTTAAACAAAAAAAAGATGGATTTTTCTTTGGTATTTTTCCCTATGTAGTTATCGTCAGGGTATACACCATAAACGGCTTATTGTTGAATTTTGGGACACGCTGTGTACACAAACGATCCACATTCGTATTTTGATTTCATAGATTAGTAGAAGAACATTTGAGCCAAACAGAGGTCACGAAAAGTGACTTTCAGATATAGTATATAAGAACATATAATATATTTGTATTACATTAAAAAAAAGACTTCGAAATTCTAATTCGAAACCGTCAAATGACTACTGGATTAATAAGCTAAGTATTCGGTCATTTATTTATTGGATAATTAAAAAAATATCGTCTTATTTTAATTATATTTACCTCGAATCTTACATATCTCCATATTAAATTAATAACACATGTGCACAACTCAATGAAACCACTATACTGCTTTGAGTTACTTTGTTGTAGTGATGTACATTTTGAATTTATCGATATCTATTATATTTGTTCCATAGATATATCGACAAAGTCGTTGAGAATATTTGA